CGCTTCCCGTAACCTTCTCTTCCGTTTCACCCGCCTGTATGTTTCCTCTCTCATCAATGACACAGATGCTCCTGTGTCCACCAGAGCTCTCATCGCCCCCTACCCCCTATCTCCGGTCTACAGGATAGTTCTTTTCTCTTGCGTTAGCGAAGAGAACACTTGAGCTTTCCTCTTCCTGGGTCCCCACCCTTGGGTTAACACAGCCATAGGCGCCGGTAGTAATAAATCACCTTCATTTTTCTCATGAGGTGGAGTCCTGCGCCCCTGCACCTGGGCGACCCCCGGCCGGACCTCTCCCAGTCTTCCGCGGCTGTTTCTAAGGATACAGCTCCTCTTCAGGTGTCCTGGCCTCCTGCAAACCAGCACCTTCTTGTCGGACAGCTTGCCGCAAAGTGGCCCGCCCGACCACATGTCCAACATTTTGCTCTTTCCTTTTCAACTGGGTTGGCCTTGTGTCTACTCCCGGGGAACCTGTCCTCTATCCAAGCGATTCGCCCGACCACTGATCCAAGCTTTATTTCTCTTCTTTTTAACTGGGCCACCCCTCCTCTTAATTCCAGGGGTGGCCCGCTGGCTTTTCTTGGGCTCAGCCTTCTTTGTTAATATCGGTGGGGCACCTTTCCTCAGCCCGCACCACTTCGCCAGGTGTCCTTTCTTACCACACCTGGTGCACCTGTCACGATCGAAGTCTGGGGGCAAACCCCACTTCGTCGGACATTCCGCCGCCCTGTGGTCCTTATGCCCACAGGTCCAGCAGACCAGCCCGTATCGACCCGGCGTGGGCTTATAAAATCCATGCCTGGTCGACCTTGCCTTTTTATTGGGGTCTTCTTCCCATACTTCAGCCTGATCTACTTCTACTTTAACCTTCTGATTCCACGCGGGGGATCTTCCGCCTACCCCCCTTCTTCCGGCCTCCTGACCTAGTGTCTGTTTCCTCCCACACCTCTTCACCTTTTTCCCATACGCCCTGGCTCTCCTGGCCAGCTCTATTGCTGCCGACAGTCTCAGCGGTCCCTCTTTTTAGCACGTCGTGACGAACACGCTCGTCACTTAGCGCCTCCACATACAGGTCCGCTAGTTGGGCCTGCATAACCGCATTGTCTCTGACCACTTCCGGAAGGCCAATGATGACAGCTTCCTGCTCGGGCCCCCAATTCTCCCGGGGTTTCGTCCCGCAGCTGTGTCAGTTTTAGGAGGGCCCTCATGGCCTCTATAGCCGTGCCTCGTCGGCGAATTCCTTGGTCAATAGTCCCTTTAACCTTTCCCAAGATAAGGGGGTTGACTCTCCAAGAGCTCCTTCACGAATTCAGACGCTTTCCTTTTGTGGCATCGTATGCCAAATACAGGGTTTTCGTGGTCTGAAAGTTCGTAAATAACTCGGCTCTTCTCCAGGATTGCCAGCCAGTTTTTAAATTCTTTCCTGCTGCTGTCAAATGCTGGGACCCTCGGTCCACCTAACAGCCTTCTTAAATCAACTGACAACCCTTGTCTTACTTCCTCTTCGCCCCCCCCACTGCTCTATCTGAATCATAGTCCGACATATTTAAAGAGAAAGACAATCTACGCAGCAACAATCGAGGTTGGGAAATAAAATAAGTGTCCTACCTTACAGACGATTCTGTTCTCGTTCCTTTCGGTCCCGGGTCGTTTTGAGTCCTATTTGAAATTTCTCAGCAACAGCGGTCGATCGATGTGACGTGACGTGGCTGTCTCAGGGTTGATCCGTCCTGGTCACGGCGCCATTTGTGACGTTGTCCCCCCCTGGTCGCAGCGTCGACTGTGTCGTTCGATCTCGTTCGCGGCGCCAACTGTGACGTGACGTGGTCCAGGGTTCTGATCCTATGGTCACGACACCAGTTGTGACGTATTTGCCGCGGCGTCAGCTGTTCGCTCCTCGCTGCTCCAAGTATGACGTTCTAACCCTTTGGTTAGATGAATACCAGCCTCGTCGTTCCCAACTCGCTTCCAACGCCTGGTTACTAGGGTAACTGCACTGATCTCCGTTGTGATTAGATCTTAAACAGACGGGATCAAACAGGGATTGGGGCCGTATGCAAGCTGAGTCCAACGGGCGTGATAACACACAAGAAAAAGAAAAACTCACAAGGTAAAAAATTATTGAAGAAAAAGGTAACAACTTTTTATATCTAAATGTTCGTGACACAAGATTATTCCTACCTCCCGACCCGTTTTGCGGACTGTGGCACCAAGCTTCTACCATACAACTTTAAGGCTTCGAGTTGCCTGCTCTCCAGAAATTTGCATTTCGAGGTGTGGTTTGGTTTCGAAATTTGGGCGCTGATCTCTACCTGTCGTTCACGGCTGATTTCTCTCGTCGTCCGTGGCTGTAACTAACTCTCCTCAGAGTCTGAACTATTGTTCACTCATCTCTGCCGTCAGTGCGCGAACTAACTTCTTCTCTTCGGCTTCGGTTGGACGAGCTTTTGTCTCACTTCGGCTTGAGTTGGGCGAATTTCTTCACTTCGACTTGGGTTGGACGAATTTTCTTCTTAGGCTTGGTTTGATTCCAACTTCTCCACTTAGGCCAAACGGCTGCTTCATTTCGGCTTCTCTTGCCGCAAAGGGGACTAATGAACAGGGCCCGCCGTCCGCGCTGCAACTCCAACTTAACTTCTTCTTCCGAGGCGCAACCCCAACTTTCTCTTCAGCTTCTCTTGCCCGCAAGGGGGCGAATGAACCGGGCCCGCCGCCCGCGCTCAAGCTCCCTCGCTGTCCGCGGCGTAACTGCAACTTATTTCTGTCGATTGGGGTCCTGCTTTTATTGAGGCAGTCAAAAACTGGGGTGGGTCTGTCGGCGCCAGGGTTTTCTTGATAATTCTAAAGACGTATTATTTCTGATTAGGGATTTTCCATTATCGGTAACTTACTTTCACTCCTACTTCCTTACTGTGCCTCTGGGGGGAGGCGTATACCCGCTTCCCCTGGTCCCTCGTATGTCAGGTGACCGCTCTCGACCAATGGGGGTCCTGGTCGGGCATCTTTCCTCCTCCCTCGCACATCACGTGACCGCCCTCGGCCAATGAGACTCTGGTCGGTATCTTTCCTCCTTCCTTCGTGACGTCTCTAATCGGGCGTGGACAATCCGTGGCTTTGTTCTGGGGAAGAAACACCTTGCTTAAAAAACAAAATTTAAATTGTCCTTTCGTACGTGATCGAATGACGCTATCGGTTCCTTTTACACGTGGTATCTGTCAAACAGCCTACCGCTAATTGGATACGATCTAAGAAACGAATTTCTTAGACTGCGTGGCGTTCTCGCGAGCTAATACAAATATTTCACCTTTTTCTTTCGCTCGGAGCTTGTTAACAAAAATCTTAATTATCTCAAAAAAGCGACATCACCTTGGGTGGTTTTTTTTCAACTCTAGAAATTGTCTGGGTTCTTGTATTAATGCTTTGTTTTCATATCCTTAGATACACTTCCCCATCTGTTACCTATCATCTCAATGACATCCTTTTCATTTGTTACTTATCAATATTTTTTTTTCATTGTCCCTAAAATTTTATTTCTTCAGCCAAATTGATAACAAACTTCCATTTTTTGTGGATTTCGGTCACGTACTTTGACCTAGATATCTTTTTACACCTGTTATGTGTCAGCTGAGCGTGTGTGCTTATGACCGGGTTTTGTACCATCTATTTCTCTTTCTTTTTCCTTCCTCTTCCTTTCTTTCTTTCTCCCAGATCGTCTGAACGCAATTAGAGAATTATTCTCAACTCCGAAATATTTTTCATCTCTAAATAACTATCAAATGGTTAACAAACCGAAAAAAATAAATCATATATTTATGAATATCTCCTTTCAGTTTTCCAATCATGCATGGTGCCACAGTATGTACTGCTGGCCCTGACTATGCAGTTGACCAAACTATATATCCATTTACTATATATATATATATATATATATATATATATATATATATATAATCGACTCTCCTGTCGCGTTCGACGTATGAGGGTCAGGCCGATAAGTCCCCAGGAAACCGACATCCCGACACCGGCACATGAGATTTGATTATAGTGGTGAAGGCCTCGTGCAGGACCAGCCACACTTTTTGGAGGGACGAATACAGAAACCTGGTGCACCGAATACATGCCACAAGGTTCCCAAACGACCCTCCGCAGGTTTTGAATTCAGAGTTGTCCTTCTCCTAGACCAGTTGCCATCCAAGGCTATAGAACCCAGTCTGTCCTGCTATTTTACCCATAGCTGGTGGGAGATGAAGAGGATACATACCTTTTTCCAATGTAATGGATTCGACTGGAATTGAACTCGGCTCTGCGATTCCTCAATCCAAGCCGATATCCACTGCTCCACCGTGCCTCTCTCTCTCTCTCTCTATATCTATATATATATATATATATATATATATATATATATATATATATATATATATATATATATATATAGCTGACCACTTGTATTCGAGGATGCCCGTCTACTAGGACGGTTAGCCGATCCCCATTACAGACTCTCGCTCAGGCACATTTGTGTTTGTTCAACACCAACAGAGCCAACCTGTGGTTTATACTGAAACTATGTTGAGCGGTACTCCTCTGCTCATATATGTAGAGATAGGCTCAACTTTACCAAAATGTTCGATACTCGATTTTCCGTTTCAGTGGCCAAACGTTGAATCCGTAATTCTGATTTGCAATTTTCTTTTTTTCGGAAAATACATCCGCGCGTTATTTACCTCTTGGCTTCTAAATATCTAAGTTAACTAATGATTTAATCCTGGCTACACTCGTTAGTGAACGTAAATATATCTATTAGTTTTTTGGAGGTACAACAAATATATATATATATATATATATATATATATATATATATATATATAGAAAAGCTTGAGGAGGAAAAACGAAAAATAATATATACAAAAAATAATTGAAACCTGATTGATTAATGTCAATATCGTAACTGTTTTTACTTATTGGTCGATAATCGTGCAATTGTAAATCCATGATTTTAAATGATGCCTTACAAAAATTGTTCTTCTGCTTTCCTTCGTTTATTCGTTCGTTCCTTTCTTTCTTCCTTCTTCCCTTCATTCAATCAATCATTTGTTTTTATTTTCTTATCTTTTTCTTCTTTATTTCAGTATCTTTTTCTGCTCTCCTCCTTTTCTTCATCTCTTTACTTCTATCTTTCTGATTCTTGTCTTCATTTTCCTTCTCTTTTGATCACCCCACTCTTTCTTTCTTTCTTTCTTTCTTTCTTTCTTATAGTCTTTCTTACTCCTTTTCTGTCCATTCATCACATTCATCATCAACATCATCCTCATCATCACCTTCGTCTTCTTCTGTCGAAGTCTATACTTTCTTCGTTTTCCTCAGCTCTTCTTCCCCCTCTTCCTTTTCCTCTTTCTTCTTCTTCTTCTTCTTCTTCTCACCGTTTCTTTTTCATTTCTTCATTTTGTTCTTTCTTTCAATATTCTTTTTATTCGCTTTGCCTTTTTCTCTTCGTTCTTGCTTTTCTTCTATCCATTCTCTTCAATTATTTTTCTCTTTCTCTTTTCTTTTCTTTCTTTCTTTGTTTTCATCCTGTTTATTCTTTCTGTTTTTCTGCTCTTCCTTTACTTTTCCTACTCCTTCTACCGTTGCTTCTTCTTCTTTTTCTTTCTTTCTTTCTTTCTTTCTTTCTTTCTTTCTTCGTCCTCATCCTTTACCATTTCCTCCTCCTTCTGTTATTGCTTCTTATTCTTTATTTCTTTCTTCCTTTTTATTGTCTACTTTTCGTGTCTCTTTTTTTTGTCTTCTGTTCGCCATTCTTCTTCACGTCTTCTTTTTTGTTCCCCTACTCATTCTTATTCTTTCTTTCTTTCTTTCTTTCTTTCTTTCTTTCGCTTTCTGTTCATTCCTCTTATTTTCTACATTTCTTTTTCTTTCTTCTTCCAGATATTTCCTTCCCCCTTCTTTCTCTTTTGATCTGCATCCTCTTTCCTCTTTTTCCTGCTTTCTATTCCGTCTACTGATTTTTCTTCTTGTCTCTTTTTTTATTTCCTTCTCCTTTCCCTTCTCTTCTGCTCCTTCACTTTTTGTCTTCACTTCATTCATTCCGTATTCTTCTCCCCCTCTTCCTCTTCGTTTTCTTCCGTTGCCTTTCAAAATTGAGTTTCTCCTTCTTTACTCTTTTACTCCTTCTTCTGCTAGCTCTACTCGCAGAAGAATTTGGGGAAGCTCCTGGTAACATGCCTTTTGGAATTCTGTGTCTGTGTCTGTAGGGAATTATTTGCCATTATTCTTTCCGTTTTCGAAGAGACACTGAGACCCGAAATGACCATTTTTTTTTTTTTTCGAAGTATTTTTTTCATATTACTACAGAATAGATACCTCGACTACGGCACGTAAAAAAGCAGAATAGTATGATGAACAAAGGCCCATGACTCAACGAAAACAAAGTTTTGTCATCAAAATGTTTATGTTATTATTAAGAGGAAAGACCAGAGTATTTTTATATTATTTTTTGAAATTTAGCACGTTCAAAATTTTGATTAAAAAGCTTGTGTTTTTTTTTTATGGCAGCGGTCGACGAGAGAAAAAAGTTTTGATTTATTTTGCACTTTTCCCGAGAAAAACACATATTGATTTTGAAATTCTTGTAAAATTTAAATAATTGTCGGATTTTAATGAAACTTTCAGAAAATATTCAGAAATGAATTAAATTATTACACATTTTTTTTTTTAGAAAATCTTGGTAAAAATTTTTTTTTTTGAATGTTTCCACCGCCTTACATATTTTCAGGAAATTTCGAGAAATTAAATTTTAAGAGGGGGATTTTTTTATTAGTTAAATATAGGAATCTTTAGAGAAAGTAAATCACCAATTTCTTTTGTAAAACAGTTACCTGTTTCATCGAAAATCTGCACTGAATTGTAAAAGAAAATGCAAATTATTTAATTCGATATGCTTTTACTTGCTTTTGTAAATAAGTTATATTAAGAACATTATTGTCTGAAGAAATAAAACTTTTTCGATGAATGATGTATTTTTACAAGATATTTTTTTCATTTTTTAAACATTTATTTATAATATTAATACTTCAAAAAGGGTTTGAAATTCTTCATTGCTTTTAAAAATGCATTTTGGTGATATGGTTAAGTGAAAAGTAAATTTACGAATCGAAATTTGTAAAGTTCATCACAGTCGTTTGAACCCGAATATTTTTAAAATAATTTAAAAAAATGCCTCATGTTTTATTGAAGTATTTTTTTTCTAACGTCGAATATTATTCGTTTTTCGTAATCATAAAATCAACGAATTATTACAACGATAATAAGTGATTATTTTTATTCCGTGAACTCCAGGTAAAGCAACGGCAAGTTAAAAGCTTTGTCACTATATTTTCTTTTCTGGTTTGAAGATTACAATTGAAGTGCACACTTCATAATATAGGTTACTGGATGCGTCGTCAAATACCAGTAAGACATCTGTACGATCCTGTTTTAGATGTCTGTTGAATCTCTACAAAAGTTGCATATTCCCTGTTTCAAGCAACGACGAAATAGCATTGATTCATTTAATTTTTTAAACTTTGGTTCATTTTGTTTTCGAGTATTGTTTTACGACACGTAATCAGTAATGATCTTTCTTTCGTCTGACTCTTTACTAGACATTTTATTTATCAAGTAAGCTACTTCTGCAAATAGGTAAAATCCTGTTTGACAAATTCACTATACATACACTAGTGTTCAAAAGTTTCTGGTTACCTCGAATAATTTTTAAAATTGGCCTAAAAAATAGATTTGTACTTTAAATAAGAGGAAAATTATTAATGATTACCCCAAATTAATATCAAGTAAAGGTCAGTGACCAGATATTATTGAACCATAAAATCATCCTGGTTGAATTAACAGTACCATATGAATGCCGGATGGAACAAAGCCACGATTATAAAACTAATAAATATGAAAATCTAAAGTCAGAGCTAATAAAGGAGGGGTATAATGCAATTGTTAGAGCAGTGGAAATTGGAGCAAGGGGTTTCGTTTCAGGCACTCTGTACCAATTTCTGGGCCAAATTGGAATCAAAGGGCGTAATAGGGCCAAGATTATAAAACGCCTAATAGAAGTAACAGAAAATAGTTCTATGTGGACATGGAAAAAACGAAATACTCCGTGGAGTGTTTCAGCGAACATGACGGCATGACATGTCTGATCGTGAATGCGTAATGAGGTTCACGTTGCATTCTCAGAACGCGAGGTTTGCCGTTTTTCGGAATTTTCGTAAATTTCATTTCGCCGTTACACATTTAAACTAGTTTATCTACAACACTTGTATATCGTTATAATGGGGCCTCACATCAGTGAGGGGGAGACGGTGTGCAACTGAAACCGTTGAGAGGAAAGCCCCGAAACGGTGCACATTCTCTCCTGATGACCCCAGTTTAAATATAAATTCGAGAGGAGCACAGCAAAATTCAGTGAAGTCATATGCCGTAGTGAAGCTCGGTGGAAGTGTCATTGGCATGAGGAGCATTACACATTCAGGTCTCTTCAGGTGAGTTTCAATTACTTTCCAGTAATTCCCTTCTTGTACATGGTTAAAAAAAATGAGACGTGATTTTTGTATTAGAAATTTTATTATGACAAAAAAAAGAAGCATTTTATGATTACATTTTGCTCTTGACAAAATATCCATTTTTTAGCCTTGATTACTGCAGCACGAATTTTCGGCATTCGTTGCAAAGTTTTCTCAAAATATAAGTTTGATAATATATCCATTTTTCTTTCAATGAGTAATAGATCTCTTTTTCATTTTTTTTTTTTTCTCAATCTTCTGTCAAGTTCATCCCATGCTAATTTGGAGCTGGGACTGGCTTCAAACTTTTGAATCGTAGGGTATATTAATATCAATTACGAATTTCAAAAATAATTTAATTTGTTCAAAGATCAAAAAAAAAAGGTATGTGTATAATTTTTTTTATTTCCGTAGTGGGGTTAATTTTCAATGAATTTAACGAGAGCTCGAAAGAAAAAAAATCAGCAATATTATTGGTGCTGATCTGGCGGTTCGGCTTCAGTTATTACCCCCCACCGACCCCGTAAAGTTGCCTTTCTGTGTTCTTTTCTATAAATACTTCTATGGCAATTGTTTTGGGTGAGCTTTTCGCTATGGCACCGAGATTTCATGAATTTAAGCGCAGCATCCGACAGGAGTCGAGCTGGAGAGATGTAGCCGTAAGTTCTATGCTAACAGTTTCTTCTCTCGCACTTCTCGCTTGTGGAACTCTCTTTCTGTCTCCAATGCTTTCACGTCAACTTTACTCTGCAAAAATTTAAATGCAGATTGAATCGCTATCTACTGTCCTCATTACACTTTCCTCTTCCAGCTCATTATAATCAATGTTTCTGTTCCTAATACTTCCACACCCTGTAACCCCTTGCGTCTTAGTGGCTTTACTACCTTGCTTGTGGAACTCCCTTCCGACTCCATGCTTTCCAGGCAAGTTGAATCTTCAAAAATTTAAATGCAATGTCAATCGCTATCTACTGTCCTCCTGATTACTCTTTCTTCTTCCCGATCATTATTAATGTTTCTGTTCCTAATTCTTCCACACCCTGTAACTCTTTGTGTCTTAGTGGCTTTACTGCCTTGCTTGTTGAACTCCCTTCCGTCTCCATGCTTTCCAGCCAACTTGAATCTTCAAAAATTTAAATGCAATGTCAATGGCTATTTACTGTCCTCCTGATTACTCTTTCCTCTTCCTGCTCATTATTAATCTTACTATTCCTAATTCTTCCACACCCAGTAACCCCTTGTTTCTTAGTGGCTTTAATGCCTTGCTTGTGGAACCCCCTTCAGGGTTCATGCTTTCCAGCCAACTTTTAATCTACAAAAATTTAAATGCAATGTAAATCGCTATCTACTGTCCCCTGATTACTCTTTCTTCTTCCCGATCATTATTAACGTTTCTGTTTCTAATTCTTCCTGTAAACTTTTGTGTCTTAGTGGCTTTAATGACTAGCATGGGGTGAAATCGATTTTAAAAAAGTATAGGATTGTATCTATTTGTATATGTTAAGTAGTAAGTGAAATTAATGGATATTAAACTAAGAGACAAACAGGAAGTTGACTACTGATCACGTGTCATATAAAAACGCAGAACAACAGTGTTATTTCAGGAATCTGCATATGGTTTCTACATTAATTCCGATTATATTCCCTGGTTTTATTAAGATATCTTTCTTGATGACAAACATTTTATTTCCTTTAATTTCTAAAAAAACAACAACAAATCATGACTCCATGAGATGAAATTGCTTTGCCGAAAATTGCTATGTCAATTTTGTACACCATTTACGTCCCATTTAAAAAATAATATTCACTAAGAATTCGCCCTTTCTCATTTGTTTTATCTTTTACAGTTTTTAAACGATAAATTCTACTATTTCAAACGTTCAGTTTGCCAAATAATACCAGAATAGCAGACAAAAAAATTCTGACTACCACCCAGACACCACATCGGTTCTTGCTAATGACTGTGAGAGTCGAAATTACTTGAACAAAATTAACAAAATATGAACTCCCGACAGTACAAATATTATACTCAACAACTGGAAAAAATATAAAAAATTTAAATAGAGCGTTAAGGTTCTTTTAATCTAACTAGTTTGATGAATACTTGTTGCCTAAATAAACCTTATATATATATATATATATATATATATATATATATATATATATATATATATATATATATAAAAAAAAAACAGACCACTTTAAGGTACCATTATAATAATTTATTTCACCAGAGTCCTTTTAAAAGGACGCCGGATCATCAGATAGGACTTCCAACAACGAAATGAAAAGAAGCAAATATATGGATATAGATCCGACAGTATGAAGAAAAATATACGGAAAAACAAACAAAAATCCTAGTATGCAATTATGCTGTTTTAATGTTAATATAATGTAAACGTCGGACGTTTCGGTCTAATAGACAATCTTCAGGACATATTCATAAAACATAATTAACATTATGCTATATTCAATTCAACATGAAAAGACGATGGACATAAGAGTAAGACTACTCAATTGTCAGCCACTGTTGTGGTTGTATCACAGCTCATGAGTATCGCTAGACATCCAATGGTCTCAAATCGAAACCCGACTTATTTGGCATCAGTCGGAGATTCTAAGCTTAAGCTATCATCGCCCTTTTGAGAAGAAGTTTAATTTTTACGTACTTATCTTTCGAATAAACACGGCAATGACCGACAGGGATCAATTCTTCACATCACCAATTCACCCCATATATATATATATATATATATATATATATATATATATATATGTAAAGTGTATATATATATATATATATATATATATATATATATATATATATATATATACTGTCCACATACGTTTATACGTGTGCATGGGTGTACGGGTATAAATCTATGTTTGCGTTAGCATGGGTGACATCACGACGACGATTTTCCCTCCCACTTTCATAAGAACACCGATACACGCAACCTATATTAATCCAAAATTTTTAAAAAAATTAATCAGTTTGACGATCGCAAAATCGTGAAACACAAGGTCACAAACTCATATCAATCTAACTAAATATATATCATTGTCCAAACATATAACAGACAACAAATGTCTACTATGTTTGATCATGAACCGTACTAAGCTTCATTGTTTGTTATATTTCACAATATATGTTTGAATATATATATATATATATATATATATATATATATATATATATATATGTCAACTCATATCTATCTACATGGCTGACCAAAAGTAATCTTTACAGTTATTTTTACTATTTGTTTCACACCTATTAATCAGTGATAACTTCACCGAACTGTTCTTTCACCATGATGGAGTACCTCCCCATTATGATTTGGCAGTAAACCAAACCTTTCTTCACGTGTTGGTGGCACCAGGAGTGGCAGTACCACCTTAGGCACTGAAACTGTTACCTACCCTGGTTGGCGGCTAACGAGGGCAGGGTATCGCATGTGCTTTCACACGTTGTATGTAGAGAATTAAGAAAGTAATTGCTTACTTCCCGATGCAAATGATTATCTCTTTTTTGTGTAAATCCTACCACCTGATATGGCAGTTTCTGTAAAGGTATTTTTCGCTAATATTATGTCCTTTCTGATTTTGAAATCAAAGTTTACGGCGTCAGTTACAATAAAGAAAATAACTCTCTGAAGCTGCTTCTGAGATCCCTAGTATGTAATTCGAATCTTGAGTTGCCCCTTTTACTAGCAACCAAGAATTATGTTTCCTGACATCCCCAATATGTTCTTTGAATCTTGAGTTGATCCTTTTACTAGCAACCAAGAATTATGTTTCCTGACATCCCCAATATGTAATTCGAATCTTGAGTTGCCCCTTTTACTAGCAACCAAGAATTATGTTTCCTGACATCCCTAATATGTAATTTGAATCTTGAGTTGCCCCTTTTACTAGCAACCAAGAATTATGTTTCTTGACATCCCCAATATGTAATTCGAATCTTGAGTTGTCCCTTTTACTAGCAACCAAGAATTATGTCTCCTGACATCCCCAATATGTAATTTGAATCTTGAGTTGCCCCTTTTACTAGCAACCAAGAATTATGTTTCCTTACATTTTTTAGCGTTATTATTTTATCGAAAACCTGGCCTGATATTTTATTTCAATTTTTTATTCTGCTTCTCCTATCAATGCAATGTCAACCGCGTCTCTCATGTTGTTGAATGCAGGTTCGCCCGTAAGAAATCCTGGTAGGTTTTCTAATTCTCCGATATTCATCTCAGTGGAAATGTTAAATAATTCCGCTGAGAAAACACATCCTTGTTGTACGACTATTTCTATTTTTTTTGCATCCATTAAATTCGTTCTCATATTCGCATGCAAACTGTTTGTTCCCAGTCCATAATAGAGTTTGTGATTTCAATATGCGTGTATACTTACAAGTACATGAGGAAGAATAAAAGAAAAATATTTTTTTTTCCTTTCATACACAACAATCCAGAAAGGTATTTATCATCCCTTTCAAAAAAAAAAATACAAACTATTATCTTACAAAATTATATAAAAAAATATGTTATCTATTTCATTGGCGGTAAACAAATCTATCTATCTATCTATCTATCTATCTATCTATCTATCTATCTATCTATCTATCTATCTGTGTGCGT